CTATTAATATATAAGGTTGTAGTAGAATTCAATGTAAAGTGAACAGACGAGCATGACTCCTGGAGCACATGATCTGCAGACAAAGGAGCCGAAAAGTTGACTGGACATTGTATAATCAGTTTCTACCGATTGATACATTGTTAGAAATATTCATAATGTTAGATGCACTTTTAGTATGTAAGGTTGTAGTAGAATTGAATGTAAAGTGGACAGACGAGCATTACTCCTGAAGCACATGATCTGCAGACAAAGGAGCCGAAAAGTTGACTGGGCATTGTATAATCAGTTTCTACCGATTGATACTCTATTAAAAATATTCATAATATTAAACGCACTTTTAGTATACAAGGTTGTAATAGAATTGTAAATGTTAGGTCCTGAAAGTAAATTAGTATACATTTATTACGAGCCTCTAAATAAACTTATAATTTAACGACGTGTCATGTTATAATTTTGTGAAATTGCGTAGGAAAATTAATACACTTGTGTACTGAATTTTTGTAACACTTTTTATAGACTTATCGCAAATATATTTTATAAACTTAGTGTACCGTGTTTGAAGAAAATTTCTAGCGAAAGTATTATCAAATTATATTTTTTTTAACAGGGTACGTGTTATTAATTCCCTACGAATAACCTTCGATTTATGTAAACTTATCCAAATACAAAAAAGTTGACTCGACACTGTATCGCCAGCGTGTACAGAATTACGCTTAATTATTAATTCCGTACAAATAACGTTCCGTGTATAAAAACTTAACCAAGTACACTTAACTCAATCCAATCAATTGTAGAAATAGATCAAATTGCTCCCCCTTCGTAAAAAACTCACTATTGATCAGAATTACAGAATTTTCATATCATTCAAAACTTCAAGTAAATGTTTTAAATGTCACGATAGACTTTGTTTCACGTATGAACAAAGTACGTTTGTCAAAAAATGTATATAATTTTGCTCAAAACCGTATGACTGAAAATCTAGAATTATTATATGCCTAATCATTGCATTGTTTCATGACGCGGAATCACAAAACAGATATCGTAATTTCACGTGGTAACTTAAATTTCTCGAGGTTTACGGTTCAGTTTAATAATAACATTACATCCCCCTCAATTTGTCCGATTGTCGAAGCGTTGTAATGAATTTCAACAAAAGGCGGAAGGGAACAAACAGGACATTTCGTTGATCTTCCACCGAGTTAAAGGAGTTTTTCTTCGTCGATGAGAAGCTGATTAAATGTCAAAAATGTTTTAACGGGTTGGCTGTTTGCACCGAGGAGCCGACTTTGACTACAAAAAGCTAAAAAGCAGAAAGGCGAATTCAATCGGTTCCTAATAAGCCTCTTCTCCGAAGTCGGGCCAAGAATTACGCAGAGATTACCTCGTTAAATACTTTGTATATCGATCGAGAAGTCTGAAAGTATGCCCGGTAAAAACTTCCCTGGCGGTAGAAAGTGGTCCCTTAACTTTCAAGTGTTGGCCATGATAAGAGTAAAAAAGTTCTTCCAATTAACTCGGCGGAAAGTTCACCGGGTCGTCTTTCGCAAAGTTTCGCCGGCATCTCCATTAAGGCGTGTGTTTATTAAATATTATATTCTTATTTCTCCCCCAGGGGACAGAGAAATGATTACGAAAATCTGCGAAAGATGCGATTACCAAAAACATCAGCCAAGGTAAACTAACTATGAAAATATAATAAAGACGAAGAAAATCCAACTGATAAATTTTAAACAGTCACAGCGCGTACCAAAACCATCCACGTTTAATTATTCTGTATCGGAGTTCGCCAATAACCTCTGAAATTGAAGATATTAATATTTACCTCATCAACGTACCGAATTCTCGTATAAGAAACTCGGTCGCCTGTGCTCATACATATTTATGTGTGTGCTTGGTGCGAAACTCTGTCGAGTTTCGGTATCTATTCAAGATTCAACGCTATGGAACCGTCATCGCGAAGTCAAATGTTTGTTTCTCCATTCAGTAAATGTTAACGTGCGTATTAAAACGTCGCATACACCCGACTTTTTCCGCTGAAATGAGTTATAAGCAAGAATAATCGTTTTTTTACAAAGCGTGGCGTGTAACTTTCAAGAGTCCCTTGTTATATAGCTTTACTCCGTTATGGGAAATCGTAAATATTTTGAGCCCCTCCTCGATACCGAGAGAAATAAATTACGGTCCTTATTCGCGAGCAGGTGTACGAAAATATCGATTGTACGCTCAGCAGTGCTTGAGTATAATGAGAAATAAATTACAGGGGATTTTTTCACGTCAGGGGAAGGTGAGATTGGTACCGTTTGATCCATGCGGTGCAAGCTTAAAAGATTTATTGATAACTTCAATACCAGACTGGGTCGAACGACGTATTTTATATCCTCTTCGAGGCGAATCATTTAGAAACCTTTTTCAGACACGTTTCATAACCTTTAAAAGATTTTATTAGTTCCCCAAATATCTGAGGATGAAATATCAATTTTAAAAATTCAACTTCACTTTCTTTTTCAATTCGTACATATCACGATCTGTTTATTTTCCGTATAACCGCGCATTTCTGTCAACCATCGTTTGTCACGAGAGAATCTGCAAATTTACACAAATCTGATAAAATCAATATTTCACTAATTGATCTACCTCGGCATTTTGAGTTGTTTGACATTTCGTATTTGACTTTGGGCACTGATAGTTATCTTGAAATGGGTGAATCGATTTTCCTCTACACATGTAAAAATAACGAGGGAAGTGATTCCAATTTTCCACGCCATTACAAGTACATTCTGCATAAAGATACTAGAATTAAAGTAAAGAGGAAGTACAAGTGTCCCTCAATTTACGCGGAATGTCCGCTCCACGTGGATTCGTTTTACGCGAATGAAAATCCCGTCGCATAAAGTCTGTCCGTACAAAAGAAAACATATTGGAAACAAAAGCCAGTACATATAAGTTTTAGATATACGTCCCTTGTAGCATAGAATAATTTCTAAATATTTCTTTGTGATCTTTGCTAAATATCTCAAGCGACAGATTTTTTAAGATTTCTTGTACATTTCATTCGAAAATATCTGAAATATTTGTTGAAAATCTCAATGACATATTTACTTTCAATAATTTATAAACATATATAAAAATATATTTTTTACTTCACGACTATTATCAGACACTTCATTTGGTATCAAAAAACACGAGAAATTTTTCTAATACTTTCGTTCCGCTATTTCATTATGGGAGCAAAACATGCGATTTTGATTTTAAACATTTTTAAAATGATTATAATGTATTCGGCAGATAATATTAAAAAAAAAAAATACTTGTATTAAAATTAAACGAAATGTTTTGTATATCTAGTAGGAAAATATTATGAAAACACATGGAAGTAATATTATATAAATATTATAAAGGTAATATTCTAAAGTACACGTCTTGCAAATATTTCAAATGCCTGATAAATATTTACAAAATGTACGATATTCGTTAAATATATAGACAATATAGGAGAAATATTTTGTGCTACTAGGGGTATTTATTTCAAATAGCTTAAGAAGGAAATAATAATGACGCTTCAGAACCGCGTAAAAATTGTGTCGTAATTTACCGCGTAAAAAAAGTGTGGTGTAAATAGAAGGAGGGGTGTATATCTAGGAAGCGTTACCCAGAAAAGGATAGAAATTCTTTAAAGAGATTACCAATGACGACGAATTAAAGGGAAAAGGAAAAGTACGCAAAAAGGAAACCCGTGTGTCTGATTTCATGTCGTCATTGGTATTTCGCTTTTCCATTTGTCCTGTCATTCCAAAGTTTGGAAACCCTGGGATTGTCCTTTTCAGGGGGATCGAAAAGTTTTCCGTAATTCATGCCGGTCTTCTATCTTACAGCTATCTCCTAAGCATTATCTACCTTTTTTTCCCCTCGACGGAGGAAATTCAAGAATCTCTTAAGGCGACAGGGCTAATTCAATTACTGCCGCTCTTAACGAGTCCCCACAAACCTTGGCAGGAGCAAACTCGATTATCAAACTTTTCGGCCTGTCCTAATTCCACTTTCTCCCTTCTGACTTTCTTCTTACGTCTCTTTTCCTCCCTTTGTCTTTTATCGCCTTTCCCTTTCCTCGATAGCCAAAATTTCAGCTCAGCGAATTTTCTCCACACACACACATATGTATATCTATGTGTTTTTAAAATTCATTGTTAATTCGAATGTCAAATGAATAAATAATCAAAATGATAACGGGGACCTTCTTAATGTTTCATGAGTGGATTTACGATTTTTCCACAAATTTTTACTTTCTGTCGGACCTGCTAGAAAGTTCATAATTTTATTTATCCGGCGCTAATCTTAAAATTAATGTGGCCGATGTTTGTAATACAGCAGGGCTCATATTTTTCCTTGAAACAAGAAATTCTATCCTGAAACTCGAGTCCTGAGGAAAGCTCCGGGGAAAGCCAAATAATAGAAATGGGAAACGAAGACCAATCGGCAAATTGGGAGCTTTATTATGTATACGGTAAAATCAAACACGAGTAATTTTCAAAATTTTTAATTTAATGTTTATGTATGGTATATCGGCTATTGTTTAAATCCCCACCTGCATAATGCTCTCTGTTGAGTTTCACAGTATGAAATCGATATTTATAAACGTTATATAGCAGGGTCGTAAACATCGCAGAGTTTATGCGCACTGAAATTTCGTAAAAAATTAATATCCTCAAATTGACGATCAAAAACGGGATGTCCATTTAATCCAGGGTCTACTCATTCAGAAATTAGTGAAAATAATTTCTTTCTTTGAGAGCCGATTGCCTTTTGATTTCATATGATAGACAACAGTGCGATTTGATAACAAGTGACGTTCAGCCTTAAATTTCTGATCTGGTGATTTCCATCAATTTTCTGCGATTTCTGCTTGCGATTACTGGATGATTTCCACACGATTTCGAGTGTTAAAATCTATGATTTCTTTAGTGAATACCCCCTCGAATTTAATTTCATCAAATTGTACTTACCTACTGCTGTTAACGGAAGTGTTGCTTCTGCTGCGTCTTGAGATAATGGAGTCGCCACGATTGACGACACCTTTGTGGGTAATACTGAAAGCCCTCAGTCTGTACAAATCGTCACCAGCTCTTGGATTGTATGCCTTCTCCGGTAAACTGTGTACTCGAGGTCTGATATGATCCGGGACTGCAATGATAATGGAATTTATTATTTAACGATAACCTTCCTGCGACTACGATAAATTTGATTTCAAGGTGCGGCGAAAATTCTACCAATTTATAATTATTTTAGCCCGACACGACTGCCTCATAAATTAACGAATCGACCTCACTGGCCGGTTAACATTTATTACACTAGTAATAACTTTCAGAAGGCAAAAGTACAAGGAAAGCTCGAAATTCATTCCCTTTACCTCAATGCAATTTTCTATTAGTTCTTGTGGATAGGATAACCTACAAGAAGCACTACTTGTGTATTACTGTAGTTAATTACTGGCCAACTACTTTTTCTGGTAAACTGTGTCCTCGAGGTCTGATACAGTCCGGGAGTGTAACGATAATATAAATTAATATTTAATAATAATCTTCCTACGTCTAGAACGGATCCTATTTCGAGGTGCAGCGAAAATTCTAGCCATTACGTAACTATTTTAGCTGAACACGACTCATTATCTAACGACTCAATTACTAGGTAATATTTATTGGACAAGTAGTAACATTTGAGAGACAAAATTGTAACGAATGCAGAAAATTGCTTCCTTTGGCCTCGGTACATTTCTTTTCGTGCCATTTTTAAGGCACTTTGGGAAACCGCTGAAATTTTCGCCGCATTTTTTACAATACAACGAAAATCCAAGATCTCTTGGAATCGATTCTACGGCCACTTTCTGTGGAATCAATCATAGAAGTTATGTCTCCTTATATTATTTCGTGTATCTAGTGCCAATAAATTATTAAGGTGATATGAATATAGCATATGAGGGTCTCGTTTGTGAAACTTTTTTCCAAAATGGGTGTACCGAATCGTTTGAAATTTGACCACCTGAATATGGGAACCCTAAACAAAATCCAGACACCCGAGAAATTTCAATGCTTCTTAATTTGTTTATTAACATTTTTTAAACTTGTGTACAAAAAATTAAATGTCATGGTTGTCAGGATCTTTATTGGGGACTCCATAATCACGTGGCAAAATTTCGAATGATTCGGTGCACCCAATTTAAATAAAAGTTTCATGCACGATCTTCAGAAGCCACTTTCATATCACCTTAAGGGCTGTACAATGTTCCTTTTTTATAGTGCGATAAGATGGAAATATATGCATGGTACATGTGAAATATGCGACACGTGGTTTATCTCTATTAATAATATACAATTACATTAACACGGTAATAGATTCTGGTCCCGCCTCATCGATCTTAATAAAGTAACCTTAATTAGGAATCTATGGTCCTATCTGAAGCCCAAGGAGCAGGCTCATGGACCCTCGATGGTCGATCATAAATTTCCCCTTAGGAGGGGAATACTCAAAAAACTTAATTGATGTTTGCCTGTCGAGTGCCTGTCGCCAAAAAATCCATGCCACTGATTAATCATTTCCTGACGGAGATGCTCTAAAAAACGTCTCCTGGCTCCGTCAGTATTCTTTAAAAAAAGGGTCTGAAGAAGTCCAAAATGGATGAACGTTCCGCAGGATATCTGAACAACTCCATTTTAACCTTGACTTCCTAACCATAGCTTCTCACTAATCTCTTCGGGATCGTTTGAAAAGGATATTCGGCGGCTGGGGTCCAGATCACCATCATCATCTGTTACTAGGAGATACCGTAATGTCGAGGAACATTACGTACATGCTTGTACATTATTTTGAGGTCCATATTGAGTGTGTACTCTTCAAGACATCCCGGCAACTCCGTTTTGACCTAGATATCTCAGGTATCGTTTTTCGCTTTACTCCTTTGGATAGAATGAAGACGATTTTTGACGGTAAATTTCTACATCACCATCTCTCGTATTCAAAATGTCCCTTAACGAGAAAAGGCATCATGGGCATGTACAATATTTGGAGGTCTGAAGTAGATATGAACTCTTCATGTTGAAAAAGGCATCATATGCATGTACAATATTTGGAGGTCCGAAGTAGATATGAACTCTTCAGGATGTTTCAGCGATTCCATTTTTATCTAGATCTCCCAGGCATAACTTTTCGTTATTCTTTTCCGGGTCGTATAAGGACGATTTTCAATGGGTAAATAAAGTCCTCAATGGAATCAAGGTGATCATTATTTACGTCCAAGATGTCCTTTAATGTGGCGTAGCATTACGTGTATGATCAATATTTTGAAGTTCAAAATAAATGTTCCCTCACTAGAACGCCTCATCGACTCCATTTGGTTTTAGATCTCCTAGATACAACCTTTCGCCATATACAACCTCTTCTGGGCCGTACAAGGACGATGTTTAATGATGGGATTTCAAATGATCCACCTTCGCGCCCAGAGTGCCTCAAAACGTGAAAAAGCCTCATGTGTACGTCCAACATTTTGAAGTTCAAAATGGGTATGTACCCTTCAGGTAGTCTTATAGACTATGTTTTTACCTAGATCTCCTACACATAGGACTTATGTCATTCTCTTCTAGGTCCGATAAGTACGCCATTCAATAATGGGATTCCAGATCATCCACATCCGCGTTCAGTGTCCCATAACGTGGAAAAGTATTACATGTACATCCAATATTTCAAGGTTCGAAATCGATACGTACTCCTCGGGATGCCTCATCGACGTCATTTTGATCTCGACTTCCCAGCTATAGTTTCACGTTTCCTCTTCAGGGTTGCAGACAACTTTCGATACCGGAACTCCAGATCGCATCATGTCTGCTTGCAAGGTGTTCCGCAACATCGAAAAGTCCCACAGGTACACATGCCCAGAGATCCACACAAATAACACACACCACGTCAAGGGACCTAGGCCAAGAGGTCGATAGACGAAGCTTCCTCGACGTGCAGCTTTTATCTCGGTCTCGGTGGGCCCTTAAGGCCTGACAGCGTATTCTCCTGGGGCCGATTTCTACTCTTTACATCCCCAAGGATATAGGGATCCCTTCGAGGACTTTCCTGCTGGACCAGTCTTCTCATCTTCTTGACTGAAAATGTTGGCTCTATCGACTTTCTCGACGGCCAAACCCTAGCAGCGGGATATTGTCTCCTATCGTCAAATTCCCCCGGATTTTTTATCACTTTAAGTATACGCACGCGGAGACAAAAATTCGACAAAAATAGTGTTAATCATTCACTGAGAAAAAGAATCTGTTAAACTTACAAAAAAGTATGTATAATGATTTTATCCATTGAAATAACAACGGCAGATTATTTCCGTCAGAGTTACGACGAAGCTTTCTTTACTCAAAACCGTAAAAAGTGCAGATAAATATCTATAACAATTGCGCAAATTTCGAGCTTTAAAACCACTCAGAAAGTTTTGTTTAAAGACGATGACGAATTTGCCCGCAGTCACGTCAGGAAGCGGTTTTGAATGCGATTTTTGCATCCGGTGACATTTTTATCCCGCTGGGTATTTTTTATGTCATGTGATACTATGTTTTTATGATTCGATGGTGGAGAAATTTTCCAGGGAAATAGCAGAACATTCGTTCGTTCATTCGATCGGCGAAGCAGGAAATCGACATTGGGATTCTCGAAAAAGGGGTAGATAATATAGACAGTTGATTCGGACGGTTGATTAACCTATCAGACAGTTGATTAAACCACCTCGTTGTTTTCGTCGTTTTCTCGGCTCGCCATTTTCCGGCTCGTCCGGAGCGTTTTTAATTGACATTTCCATTTTACTGGACATACTCGCGAGCTAACGTTTTCTCAACTCGAAGTTTATTTAGTCCCTCCGGAAATATCAGTCAGTCAAAATTGGAGGTCGAAATTCTACCAGCGTGGAAATATTACAAATTACCCCCCACCCTCAATATACGCGACACTTTTCTCACTTTAAATTATAACACCATTTATGCGGTAATTTTTATTCGCGATCTTAATTTACGCCGTCGGAAAATATATTTTTCTAAAAGTTTTATAGTAGCAACTGTGATATCGAATGAAATGTACTTTTGTCTTTGATACGTCATTATTTTTTTTGTTAAGCTATTTGAAATAGATATGTATTTTTTAAACTTATATGTACTAACTTTTATTTCCAATATATTTTTTTTTGTACCGACAGACTTTACGGGATTTTCATTCGCGTAAAACTAATCCACGTGGAACGGATACTCCGCGTAAATTAATGCGTAAATTAATTGAGGGATGAAAGGGATGCATATATAATGTAAAATTTGATGTAAGATGTTTATTTTGATGGTCTGTAGAAAACTGGAAGATTTTGAGGGCAGTTAGTGCTTTCGCTGCCGTAGTTCACTTTATTTGACATGAAACCGTACTGATACGAGCTAATAATGTTTAACGATTGGCTTTAACGCCTGACGTTCAATTTATCGTTTAATGTCGACGTCGTCGTAAACATTTTACAGGTTCACTGAACTTAATGAAGACTCGCCTCTAAGGAGCGGGGAAATATCGACTAAACATTACATGTTCTTTTGCTATGCCCGTCTGAATTCGACCGACAAATCTCGGTTGTAAAATGAGAGAAAAAATTTAAACAACGCCCTAAAAAGAAACAGTGAGTAATAATCGCTTGCAATTCCTTCAGCATTAATTGAATTAATAATAATGTCCACTTCCTACAGTTTCGAATATTTTCAATTTTTGATACTATACTTCTAATGTAACGTACCTTAATGCAAGAGTCTCAAATAATGTTTATTAGGAAACTGATGCAAAACTTTACAATAACAATAACATTACATGTATCAATGCAAGTCTCTACGTTAATAACTCATTTCCACAAATTATTTTTGGATCGCTTTAACTGAAATTAACGCGGGTAGCATTTTTAATCGACACGTGAGTTAATTTAATTTCACCCCGATAGTAATATATTTAAAATATCTTAATATACAGAAAATGTCGGACATTAATAAATGTTCAAAAATTTCAAATTCTTCCGCAGTAGTAGAAGAATTTCGTTTTTTCAATTCCTCATTATTCTGTACTGCTGTAATGTGTTTGTCACCCAAGTGACTTGTTTCCTCGTTACATCCTTGGTATTGAAA